GTTGAAAGGAGATTAAGATAGAGACCAATTGCAAAAGAACAAATTGGAGCTGTCTGGAGAAGGACTTGTCTTAGAGATGGCAAGTAATGAGGTCTGCATCCCTGGAGGTGTTCAAATATAGGAAGTCTGGAGGAAACTCTACTTAGAGACAATATGAGACTGTTGAAAATGGTCCTGCTGGTTGGAATCTCCCAGGGACTGGCTTGTTGAACAGTATTTTGGAATTCCAGTGAGACAGAACCTGGTAGAGGTCCCCTTGTGGAACTGTTGAAGAGTGTATCGGAGAGCATGATGTGTGTTTTGAGCAAGGGCTTGGTGCAAGGCACCAATTGATTGCTTTCCACCAGCTAAGTTTTCATCAGAGCTCAATCCGCTTGCGAATTTGTCTGGAATCCATTCCTAGCAGCACCATCTGTTTGCGATTGCCCTTCCATCTGACCATTTACCCTCTGTCAACTCCCTTCCTCTGGATTCTCCCACTGCCAGTTAGAGTCTACCCATTGTCCCAGCTACATAAACTGAGTCTGAGGAGAGACTGTGCAGTAGAGAGGGGAGGAGGAGGGAGACCTTCCAGTGTGTTGGCACGCAGGATCATGACATGTCTGGAAAGTCCCCACCGGGACTTCACATAGAATCTGGGGAGAGAACATGTGGCTGAGCCAGAGCCATATTGTGTTCCAGGCAGTCTGATGGCTCCACAAATAATATTGATGCCTTTTGTTTGGAAACTTTTCTTGGAGGCTTCCCTTTTCCCAACAAGCCACGCTAAGTGCAGGGCCTCCCCCAAGCCACTGCCTTTTGCATGGTCCTACGGCTAACTGTGCAGGTAGATGAAGGGCCCTGAATGCTAATGAGAGGGATGGCTTGGCATTCCTGAGGCACCCCAGCTCGGGGACCCCCCACCTTTGTTGCTAGGGAGCATTGGAACTGTAGCTGAAAGGCTCTAAGGAGGAGGGGAGAGGAGAGAAAGAGAAGAAAGGCCAGCATTTGTTTGTAGAGCTCCACAGTTCTCTGGCCTGCTCCAAAGCTGTCCAGTTGCTGATCCCAATTAGAATATCAAACCCTGTATTCTTTCTCTTAATGATCTTGGGAAATTCCTCTGAAGAGTCAGGGAGCACTTAGCAAACTCTTTGGACTGCATGATCTATACAGTTGTTTCTGCTTGTGTGAACACACAATGCCAAGAGTTCTGAAAACACCTTTCCTTTAAGTCCCCACAAGGCAGTGAGGTAGCTGGGAGAGCCAAGAGAGGGCAGAAGGCCATGGGGCTTCCAAAGTTTCATGTGGGGGCTCCATTCAACAGGTGTTTTCCAGGTGCCTACTTGGGGGGTGAATCTGTGCTCTGTGCTGGAGACAAAGCTGGGGAAGACATCAGCCCTTACTGGGAATGACCTCCAGACGTACTGGGGAGAGAGACCGTGTATCCTAGAGAGAATTTTGCAGGTTCTTTGCCCTGTGACCTGCAAGTTGTTGTTGGACTTGAAGTGGTGCCCTGGGTTCTAATCCTGCCTCAGTCATTCAATAGCTATTAGCCCTTATGCAAGTACCTTGATCACCCTGAGCTTCAGTTTCTGATCTGTACAATGGGCATAGTAGTGTCAGCTTAGCTGGGTTACTGGGAGGAGTCAGAGCAGGTGAGAGAATGAAGAACAGTAATGTGGAGGGCTTGATTTCTGCCCTCCAGGACCACACGATCATTGAGCTGCCTGTTAGCTAGGAAGGGGTCTGTACTTGGAAAAGGCATCGATGATTTGGTTAACTGAATGGGGTAAATGGAGATACTGTATAAGAATAAAATAGAAAGCCAGTTTCCCCTGATGGAGTATGTCTACGTGAGAGGTATAGTACTGGGCAGTTGGCACCATTATCTCCTTCAATATGAATGGCTCTGTGAGATAGGTCGTGAATTGCTCAGGGTCATACATCTGGGAAGGAGTCTGCCCAGCTGTTGGGATTCACAGCCTCTACCATGTCTTCAGTGATCCGTCTTTAGAGGCTGAGGCTTTCAGACAGTTGGGGGAGACACAGTTGACCCTGAGTCTCTCCAGGGCATACTGGAGTTTGAACAGTCCACTGTATACAGATACCTATGTAGAAAGGTTCTGCTAGAGAAACCTGGTCAAGACCACAGACACCAGACTTTCTCTCTCCAGTATTAGAAATTCCCAGTGATACAGTCACAGGGAGTGTACAAAACAACACTGATCTGAGGGAAAAAGAGAGAGAGAAAGAAAGGTAACAGATTTTCCATAAGCAAATCATGGAGAAGTCCTAGGATACAGGTCAAACCAGATTCTAAAGCATAATGACCTCATAGCATTTTCCTTTCTCTTTCCTGTGGTTTGTCTCAAGGTAAGACCTCATCCAACATCTGCTGTCACATTGTCACCTTGGTATCCTAGCTTTATCAATGACTTAAGTTGAATTTTGGTTCTTTTAATGTTTACTCGGAGAAAATCTAATGAGCATATACTTTTGCAAAGTTGAAGTCTTGCAAAGGCCCTCACGTGCACATTTGTGTGCACACACACATGAACACACTTACACACATGCACGCACACCCCTTGGGGTAAAATAGTGGACAATTCCAGACAGAAGATGATCCAAAAACAATTGTCTCTTGGTTCTAGAAGACAGATGTACCTCAAAATTTGTTTTAGCTATAGGGGTAGCCTCATGTCCCTATGTCATTTCAGGGACTATCGTTCAAACGTCCTAATGTTCAGCAGCTGAGGGAAAGGGCCCAAGAAACATCCATCTCCAGAAAGTTCTGTGCAAGAACTTTCCAAACGACATGACTCTCAGTGTTTAAAACACTCCTGTGAAACTCTAAGTATTTATATTATTCCTCTTTTACAGTTGAAGGAACTGAAGTTCAGAGAGCTTAAACACTTGCCAAGGCTCCCACATACAAGTGCCAGAGTTGGATTTTGGCTGGTTATAAAGCCTTTTTTTTTTTCTGCTCTCTGTTGAAGGGTAGGTAGTAGTGGTGGGGTGACTGTGGATCCAGATATGGCCATGGTTCCCCCACTTCCAGAAGCATTCATTCAGTCAGCCAGCTCTGTAGGAGGACGAGGTGTGCGTGACCTCTAGTCGCATAGCTCTGGGGCACCTTTCATGTTTTGTTGCGTGTCAACAGAGTCTCCTCCAATTGTGTGAGTTGGTGAGTGCTGAGGCTATCTATCAGGAACTAATCTAGATGTTGCACACAAAGAATTGGGTAAGGTGGGGCGTCTGGGTGGCTCAGCGGTTTAAGCCTCTGCCTTTGGCTCGGGTCATGATCTCAGGGTACTGGGATTGAGCCCCACATCGGGCTGTCTGCTCAGCGGGGAGCTTGCTCCCCCCCTCTATCTGCCTGCCTCTCTGCCTACTTGTGACCTCTCTCTCTGTCAAATAAATAAATAAATAAATAAATAAATCTTAAAAAAAAAAAAGAAGAATTGGGTAAGGTAAGGTTATAGCCTCCAGGATCTCATGATTGAGTCTGATAACCCTGGCTTCATGTTGAGGGCCTCCCATCATCCAACCCACTTTCCAGTCTACTTCCCCACAGAGATGTAGGGTGGACAGGGCATTCTTAGGATGTGACCAATGATCTCCATAAGGCTCTATCCCCCTGGCCAGTTATCAACAGGAACAGCCCAACAGTTTTTCTACCCTTTACTTCTTTGAGCCTCTCTTTCCTCAACGGTGTTGTGTACCATTTACTCAATATGGTAAAACACACCACACTGAGTTGTCAGAGTTGGATGAAACAAAGTATGTCCAGTTCCCAGCACATGTTAGTTGCCCAATGTATGCTTATTTGTCTGATCTAATGTTCTAATTTTCTAATATTCTAATATTCTAATTTTCCTCATTTGACATTTTGGTAGCATGAGAAAGCCATGTTTGTTTGCTTACTTCTCTGACCTAAAAGGCAGCTAGCAGTGCAAGGGTTCTAGAATGTTAGATGGTCAGCTGGTCTCACGAGGCATTTTTCTGGGTTACTCAGGGATTATAAAAACTGAAGCAGGTCAGACTTGGAGCCCTTGGAGATCTTTGATGTTAGTGGATCAAAATTATTTTGTTCTTAAGGTTTTGTTTATAAGATTTTATGAGATCCCCCCATAAAAATGGATAAGAAGGGATGTTCAGAGAGCATTTTACTTTCCCCCTTAACCTAACTCATTTGTCCTGTCTCCCACACAAATTTGAAAACCAGAATCCAGGTCACTCGGCATTAATGATGGTTCTGGGAACACATTTTTCTCTGAAGTCCTAGGTTAGTATTCCTTTGGTGAGCTCATACTATCTATGTGGTGTGATGTGCATGTGAGTACGAATTCTGTGGGAGATGCAAAGTTGGATAGAAGAACTATGGGAACTTGTGGAAAGTTTTGCTTGATTTTCCTGCCAGAGAGAGCAAAGGTGTTACCTACTTCCAGAACCCATTGTCCGATGTGTCAATCATTAAAACTTCCAAGTTTTAGATATATCTGGGAAAATATCTTTGGGGACAGTGTAGCATCATCTAGTTTTGTACTATAGAAAATATCTCACTTATTCAGAGAACTCTCTGGCAATTCTTTATTTTTCTTATGATGTGGAAATCCTTCCTAGAATAGTAACTATAGGAAAAGTCTAGTTTACTCATCCAAAAATGGTGTGTCAAGGTCTCTTATGTGACAGGCATTTTGGGGGGTTGACAACAATATCTAGCATATTTTTTACTCTATGTAATTGCAGGTTTGCAAAAACAAAGTTTCATCAGGAATATAGAAAAAAATCATGTAATGTTAATAAGGAGCTTTATTAGAATAGAAGGGGACTTAAAGAAATTGGGCTCTTGCTACCTTGGCAGAGGAAACCTGTTTTTTTGTTTGTTTGTTTGTTTGTTTTGGGGGGGTCATTCTGAGCTGCTTATGAGGCAGCATTATAGCCAGAAAAGAAGTCCAAGTTCAGAGCATCTCCAGATCTCCAGTCACTGTATCAGCCTCACTCAGGCCAGGGAGAAACACGTGTCTGGGTAAAAAGGAAGATAAAGGAAACATCTGTTCTCACAATATGGGCTTGTTATCATAGCTCCTTTAAGTACCGAAGTGCTGGCTCCAAGAGCAGATTTTCTCCCGCACGGAATTACCTCAAGGCTTGGTCAATTTTCCGAGGGCTCAGGGACAGGTTGTAAATGAGATTGTAGTTGTGAATGAGGCATCTGGCCCGTTCCTTCTCCAGGACTCTTGCAATTGGTTTGGGTGGGTGGGAAGTTTTGAAAAGCATGTGGAGAAACCAAAAAAGAGAGAGAAAAAAAATCTATATTAGCTTGAATGACTTCTGAGTAAAAACAAAATGCTAATATTTTTGACATTTTCAGCTTCTTAAAGCAATTTAAGCTTCTTCTTTGTGGTTATAAAACTTTAAAGGCCAATTTTTAAAACAAGGGGGTGCCTGCTAAAATCAATTTCTAATTTTTCTGGTTTATTTATTTATTTTTTTCTTACTGAAGTAGCCAAACATGTTCCTAAACATGCAGGATTGAAACAGCTCATTTTTATGCATTTCTGGAAATGTATTTACTGTGACTCCCTCCTGCTTGCTGTGTGATCACAGGTATATCCTCTCGTTTCTCATGGCTCAGAGTCTGAATCTGTGTAATTGGGCTGGTAGTGGGTATCACCACAGGATGTTCTTTCGTACCTGTCCGTTATATGCATTAATGCCAAGGTCCCTTCCAAGTTAAGGGTAGGTGGACTTGGGGAGTTGTAGAGAGGACCTTTAAGTGGAGAACATGGCATCAGCAAAGATGAATAATAATTCATTCTTAAGCCCCTAATTGTGAGCTCATATATGTCAGATACTATGCTTAAGAATATAGAAGATTTAAAGAAGGAACCTTTTACCTCAGGAAGCTCCCCAACCTTTAAGATGGTAAGATATGAAGAAAATTAGCTAGAGTATCACAATAGTGACTGATATTTACACATGTATATAACATTTACTATATTTCAGTTATGCCCTCAAACATTTTACCAGTAGTAATACATTTAGTACTCACAACAACCCATTTTATAGAGGGAGAAACTGAGGCATAGAAATGGTAAGTCACTTGCCCAAGTTTGCTTGAATTCATGCATTTAACCACTACACTCCATCACAGAATAAGGGGGAAGAGATTGTTGCAAGTAAGGCTCAGATCGTTTCCTAAAGATGTTCTTTGAATTGTGGAGATCTATACCACAGGTTCAAGAAAAGCTTTTCAGTATCTTTTATAGGGATTGAAGATGCATCCCTTGCAGTTTGTTCTTTTATCATCCTGTACTTGTACAGGCTGTAACAATGATTGTGATTTTCTTTCTTAAAGAGACCAGATGCGGTCCTCCTGTCATTTCATTTACAAAATGAAATGCCACAACAAGTCTATTAGAGTTAGAGTTTGGACACCTATTAACTCTGTTTAAGTGGCCAAATATTGTTCATATTTAAATGAGCAAGGACTGGGCACCTGGGTGGCTCAGTGGGTTAAGCCGCTGCCTTTAGCTCAGGTCATGATCTCAGGGTCCTGGGATAGAGTCCCGCATTGGGCTCTCTGCTCAGCAGGGAGCCTGCTTCCCTCTCTCTCTCTCTCTCTGCCTGCCTCTCCATCTACTTGTGATCTCTCTCTGTCAAATAAATAAATAAAATCTTTAAAAAAATATGAGCAAGGACTGCTGGGCATGGTGCTCCCCTCTGAACCTCTCTGTGATGGGTGTTCTTAACAGTGGGCTACAGATAGCTGGGGCCCTAATGTGATTTATTCTATCCAGTTCTAATTCACTTCTATACTGTCCCATTCCATCCCATCCCATCCCATCCCATCTCTGCTTATCTTCTGTTCTGTGTAGGGTTGTTTATTGTCTCTCTCTTCTATTAGAATGTTGATCCTTTCCTCTGCAGAAATCTCTTTCTGTGAGTTGGTCAATTACATCTTTGCAATTTTCTCCACTGGATGTCTACTGTTGGTCTGGTCTAGGTTGGATCTCTCAAGATATTTCCTCATATTCTGCCTCTGGAAATATAAGGCATGGGCTTTGGAGTAAGTGTCTGACTTAGGAAGGCACTTGAACTTTCTAAGCCTCAGTTTCCTCAACTTTAAAATAGGGATAATTAAACAATATGAAAATCAATAAAATAACAAAATCTTAACACAGTGTTCAGAACTATTAAGCACCAATAATACAAGCATTCTTATAGGATGATTATAATGTTGTAGCACCAATATTATTCAAAATAAACAAGAATGTGTTTTAATAGGAAGAAATTTTTAAAATGTATAAAATTGAGTTTATATTTAATTAAAAATTAAAAGTAGTGTTAAAAAATACATGTAGGAATCACCACTGGTCTGGGTAGGGGCATTTTCTACTATTTTCTAAGCTTTACTATTGGTAGAGGAATCCTAGTGTCAAACAAAAGTCCATTGACTGAAATTTGTATCTAATTTACTGTCATTTGGGGCTGCCCAGGAAAGCTGCATAAAATAACCCTTACAATCCATTTTAGTGTTGAAAAGCCTGTTCTTGTCCCACCAGAACCAAAATGAAAGGCATAAGAAGAAGAAACTCCTTAACATCCACTTCATTCTATAGTTTGCAAAGAAGCTCTCAAATCTCGTGTGATCCTCTCTCCATGCGGGAGATGTTTTATTATTATCAGTCTTATTTTATAGATGAGGAAATAGTCTTGGAGAACATAAACAACTGGTCTTCAGGGCTCAGCAATTAGTCTATTCTGGACTTGAGTCTAAGTCTCCCAGTAAAAACAGAAACAACCAACAAAGCAACAAGCAAAACCTCGTGTTCTTTCTGGTATGTCATGGGAGTTTAGTGTAGGGGAAGTTCAACAGAATTGGGTTTGAATTATGGCTCCACTTCCCACTGGCTAGTCTTTTACCACTTTAAGCTTGGCTTTTTCCTCCTTAAATAAGGCCATTAATCCCTTCAGCATGTGGTTGATGTGAGGAGTTAGTGATTCACTGTGTGCAAAGGCTAGACTCACGCAAAGAATGTCCTTGAGGGCTCTCATTGCATTCGGCCTCCTTGAACTGGAAAACGTTTTCTATCTAGCCTTCAGTTCATTGGGAAAATTCCAAATCTACCATTCACCCAAACATTTATCCCAACCCCCTTCTTTCTTTAGAAAACATGACCAGTTACTCACAGTCATTTCTTATTCTTTCTCCTCAAGGATATTTTCTTGACAACCCCTGTTAGAACATAAGCACAGAGTAGGTTCCCAGAAACACTAATTTGATGATGGATGGTCTGTCTTCACCCTGAATGAAGAACACTCTGGCCTACATATTTCCTTGCACATAATAGAGAACACTGATTCATCAATAGGCAAAGAAGGTATCATCTGCTCAGTGTCTCGAATGAGGCTGTGGTGGTCAGCTAAATACTGTGGTTAATAAACCAACTAAATGACCTCAGTTAATCCTCTTTCCTCATTAAAGATAGTTATAGATCAGGCTGACACATTCCCTGGCTGACGAGGAGCTAATGAATTTCATAGAAACAGAGAAAACAAGCATAAATAGTGAAGAGGCCATGAGAGAGGCATTTCAAATCTGCCGGAATCTGCCTCCAAAGTCAACAAAACTCTGTTTTTCCTTAGAACAGTTCAGAAGTATGAGAAAGGTCCCAGTCTTTGGGGAGTCTCTTAGCAACTAAGTTTATGATCCATCATCCATCACTGCTACTCAGCACTTGTTTCTTTAGAAATGTCTTCCCTTTCCACCTGATTTTTTTTGTATTTGTTTGTAACCCCGTCACCACTCTATGGTAGAAATACCTAGACTCGTGATTTATTTTATTTTATTTTTATTTTTTTTCGTGATTTATTTTTTAATTTAAATTCCATTAGCCAATATATAGAACATCACTCATTTCAGAGGTGGAGTTTAGTAATCTATCAGGTGATGTAACACTCAGTGCTCATCACATCAGGTGCCTTCCCTAATGCCCATCACCCAGTTACTCCATCCTCATGATTATTTCAGTAACCTTTTGATTTCCTTTTCTCCAGTATCTTCCCTAAATTATCCGTCTCTTCTTTTATGGTGCTCTCCTCTGGTCGAAACTTTAGTGAACATTGGGTAGAGGATTAAGCCTCAGCCTAGCACTTGAGAGTCACAATAGGGTCTCAACTTTACTATCTAATCTAGCACAAACCTTCTAAGCTTTGCAGGAGATGGTTTCATTCAACTCAGAATGCCTTCTCCAGCTATCCAAAGTCAACCTCAGCCTCTCCTGCAGTCTCACTCAAGCTCTCTTTCTATGGAACCTTCTCGGAAAACTCAACTCATATTTGTTTCTTAAGTTATAATACTTTGCTATATGTTGCCCTTGAGAATGTTTGTTTTTCAGCATTGAACTATTGTCTATCTTGGCGTCTTTCCTAAAAGGTCCTTGACCCTTTTTTTTTTTTTAAAGATTTTTTAAATTTATTTGACAGAGCTAGAGCACAAGCAGGGGGAGTGGCACGTAGAGTGAGAGAGAAAAGCAGGCTCCCCACAGAATAGAGAGCCTGATGTGGGGCTCGATCCCAGGACCCTGGGATCATGACCTGAGCTGAAGGTGGACACATAACCGACCCAGGCACCCCTTTGGTGTCTTACCTAAAATGTCCTTGAGGCCAGAGATCATGTCTCATTCTTTTGTTTTCCCTTCTGGTCCAGCCTCTAGCACAGTGCTGGGCTCTGTGTTTAATAAGTTTAAACACTTAAAAGTTCATGTTTAGGGCACCTGGGTGGCTCAGTGGGTTGAGCCGCTGCCTTTGGCTCAGGTCATGATCTCAGGGTCCTGGGATGGAGTCCCACATCGGGCTCTCTGCTCGGCGGGAAGCCTGCTTCCCTTCCTCTCTCTCTGCCTGCCTCTCTGCCTACTTGTGATCTCTCTCTGTCAAATAAATAAATCAAATCTTAAAAAAAAAAGTTCATGTTTAATAAGTTTAATAAACTAGATGAATTTTTCATTTAAAAGTTTCATCTCCTCCTCTCTTTGGTAAAGTGATTATTAGAAGTCCTGAAGTTATTGTATGGTAGTTATACTTTATGTGGAAATCCAAAACAAAATGAAACAGAAAATGCATTGCTACTGTTATGTGATTACTTCTAGAGAATGCTAATGTATCCCCTATTTTTTTGTTGAGATATAATTGACACAAACCATATTATAAATTCAAGGTGTACAATGTGATGATTTGATACATGTATATATTGGGAAATGTTTAACACAATAAGGTTGGTTAAAATATCCTTTATCACATGTAATTACCACTTTATTGTGGTTGTGTTATGGTGGTGAGAACATTGAAGCTCTACTGTCATAGCAACTTTCAAGTATACAATACAGCATCATTAACTAGAGTCATCATGCTGTATGTTAAATTCTTGGAACTTGTTCATCTTCTAACTGAAAGTTTCGTGCCTTTTGACCAAAATCTCCCATTTTTCCCAGCAACCGCCATTCTAGTCTCCACTTCTGTGGGTTCCATGTTTTTAGGCTCCACATGTAACAACTAACTCACCATAACTACAGAATGTAATTAAGCACCATCATTTCAGGGCACCTGGGTGGTTCAGTGGGTTAAGCCTAAGCCTTCGGCTCAGGTCATGATCTCAGTGTCCTGGGACTGAGGCCCGAATCAGGCTCTCGGCTCAGCAGGGAGCCTGCTTCCCCCTGTTTCTCTGCCTGCCTCTCTGCCTACTTGTGATTTCTCTCTCTGTGTCAAATAAATAAATAAAATCTTTTTTAGAAAAAAGTACCACCATTTCAGTCCATGTGCTTTTATATCTGCTCCCTCTTTCCCAGGTTTCTGACCTTGTTCTGGACTTCATTTTCACTTGGACATTGCAAATCCTTACTCCTTTCCCTACTTTCTCTTTCTCCTTCAATCTGCACATAACCATCAAGGATCTTTCTGAAATACAACTTCATCATAACGCTTCCTTTCTTAGAAACACTCAGTTCTACTTACTCTTTTGCAACTAAATTCAAATTCCTCGATCTGGCATCTAAGATCTTCCTAGATCTAGAGTGTTACATTTCTACCCTTATCATTTAACATTCTTCTTAATAGCCCTTATATTATTTCCAATCAAAACTTCTTGCACCGAGCTTCACACATAACAATTTTCTTGGCTAATGCACACCTTTGTCAAAAAGGTCTATTTCATTTCTTTATATATAAACTGCACTTTATCTTTAATGGTTAATTTTACACTGAGATAACCTTCCCTGACCGCCTCACTAGGAAGGAATACTCCTTTCTCTGAATGCCCACATTGCACACTGTAATGGAATTTATTACCTTTCTTCTTGGATTTATTTATGTGTTTACATTCATTCCTTTCTTCTTTCCCTCAAAAAAAAAAAAAAGTTGAACAGAACTGTGCAAAGTGCAAGGGTAGAAGAAGGAATATAGCCTACCGGTGAGATTGTAGTAAGTCTCCAAATGAAAAAAATATTTATCAAATATGGTAATGGTTGTTACAGAACTCTAGGAGGCCAGACAAAGGTTAGCCTAGATCTGTCTGGGGAAATCTGGGGAGTCTCAGAGGAGTAGAGCCTGAGTTCTAACCTGAAACATGTTTAGGCATGAGCTAGCCAGATGGACAAGATAGGAAGTTGGTGGGAGTGGGGTAGAAAGAAGAGAGGCAGACAACTCAGATGGAGAGCATAGGGTGAGAAAAGGAGCAGCCACAGGAGAAAGCATAGTATGTTTGAGGAAGGCAGGTTATCTATTATGATAGGGTAGGAGAAACTGGGAGAATACCCACTGAAGAAAAAGAGACTGGTTAGGTGGACAGAACTAGCTTTTGCCTTGCTAAGGAGTTTGGAGTTCAGCCTATCAGTGGGCATGCTGAAGATTTCAGTTGGGAGTTACAAGACTGGATTGTAGGTTAGACTCCAGGAGTTGAATGGAGGAGGATCAAAGACACAAAGAGACTGTGAGTAACTTGGTGGGGGATTCAGGTCTTCCTCTGATTCATCTCTGTATTTCCCAATTGTGCTCCCAGTGCCAGTGCACATGGTTTATGGACAAACTGTGTTTGTTAAGAAGTGAAAGAAAAGGAGGTGTCCACTTCCAGACTAGAACACACATGGAAAGTCCTATCAGCTCTAAGCTTCTCACTTTACCTGTATTACTCCGATCACACCGCTAGAGGGCATTTTCCAGCTTCTTGAACCCGTCAATCCATGTCTCATATTCTTCAGATTGGTTCTTCATCGTTGGACTTACAAAAGACTGTGAGACTGGCCTGACCTTCAGAGCATTCAGGGGATCTTAGGTGGCTGAAATCTCAGCAGGAAGGGTTTTTGGTTGTGGTTCTTCTTCTGGAGTCTTCCACCAAAAATAACACAAGCATCTCACTGGCAATACATATACCGCACAGAGCTCCTCCAGTCTCTTGGCCAAAGATGAGGCCACACAGCTAGCAATATTTATTGTAAGGTCTGGTTTTGTAAAGCTAGAGGATGTGTTTCAAATCCTCAGTGCCATAGGACCATATCTGCCAATTCTTGCTGTATATAAATACTATTTTTTTTTTAAGGGAAGGGTGGAATCACGACTTTATTCAGTTTACATTTCTGATTTACACAAAACAAAGGTTTTTGTAACTGAGACTTTTCATGATATCCTACTCTGTTTTATACTAGTGGGATACACAAGGGATAGGCTTCAGGCAATGCTTATAATTTCTTGATTGGAAAATGCATCATGAGTGTGAGATTCTTGACAAAAGGTGCTTGAAACAATATTGATATTATCTTAAGCTCATGGGTTCATTCTAACAAACCATAAAGCCCCTCTGTGGTCTGGCAATCCTACTCCTTTGGCAGAGAAAGCTGTAGCCCAGGGAGTGGAAGTGATTTACTAAGATCATAAGTCAATGGTAGACACAAAACTAGAAGGAGGGTATAGAAGTTACATCCAGCTCATTTTGGTATTCTAACTAAGTGTCCAGCACAAAATAGAGATGCTTTTAGCACAAATAGACAGATGAGTTCCCAATGTACCATGTAAGACATCCTATCATCTACTGTGAAGAGAGACAGTGGCATCACCTGTTTGATCTGCCCAACCCTGCTGCTCCAGGAATTTCCCACCCTCCCTATCACCATAGCTGTGGAGAGAATTGCCATGAACATGGTGCAGGCCTGGGCATCAAATGCAAAATGGGCCAACAAACAGTATGTTTTTTGTCCAGTGGTTTTGGAAATATTTGAGTGATAGTAACAGAAAGGTAGAAAAACAGAGGCCATTCTCTGTGAGATGTAGGAACTCTAGCCAGTTTTCCTCTTTGTATTGGAAATGAGAAAAAGATGGTCTGCTGAGGTAGACAGACAGATGGAAAAATAGGTTGATAGAGGTTAGGAAGCTGACAGCAGAGAGAAGAGAAAAGATACAGGAATTCATGATGTTGTCCAAGATCCTGATCTTAGTTCATTGTTACGGGTCTGTCCTTAGGTTGTATTAAATTGGTAGAGTTGGTTCTGTTCACCTCGATGCAAATAATCTTAACTAATTTGCCATAGAATTATGTCTCTAACTTCTGTAAATCTGTGCTTTCCCCAATTTTCAAATATCTGAATTTCTCATTTTGTACCTTTGTCTCAAGCTTCTCACATACAAGTTGTGAAAATCCCACAGCCCTAAAGAATGGAAATTGCAATAAGACCCCAAGTTTTGAGTTTGTTAAACACTCATTAAGCTGCTGTGGGGAATGGGAACGATTGTTTTGTCTGAAAGAATAGAATGCTATATGAAATTATAACCATATGGATGACCAGCAACAAGCAAATTGTTAAGAGATTAATATAAAAGAATTCTACTTTGATAAAATCAATTTTGAGAAAGAGCTGAAGGTTTTCACAAAGTAAATAAATAGGATTATTATACTTTTTAGAGCTTTGGACCACTTTAGAAATCTGAAGAATACTTGGATAATCTACCCAGCTAAATGCACATTGGCATAGATTTTGGTGGATGATTTTAGAGAATTCAGAGAGGTCCTTGGATCTGAGAAACTGTTTTTAAATAAATTTTTGTATTCTTTCAGATAGTTCAACATTCTCTTTGCCCACTAAAGGCGGTAGGGGGTGGTTGTATAGACCTGAATTAGGCTTAACTAAATGAGTAAGTAGTAAGTAAATAAGTAACATGCCCTATATTCTTTTGGTCCCACTGTATCAGGATAAAGTACAAATTCCTTACTTGGCACATAAGACCATTCAAGTTATCATTATTGCTTCTCTTCTTTTAGTCCTATGTATGCATCTTTTTCTCTCACCTTTTTCCAGGAAAAAAAATGAAAGTGCATGATGTCTTTATGCGTTATACATGCCATTCCCTCTGTCATGAGAGCCCTTCTTACCACTCCTGTCTTCATTGGTTGGGCTTCTACTCATCCTTCAAGACTCAACTCATATTTTGCCTCTTGTGGGGAGCCTTCCCCAAAACCCCAGGTGGTGTGAGGGGTGACTCCTTGTAGACCCCTTTGTCCATCACAGCATGTATTAGAGGATATTGTGACCTAAAGTTAGAGTATCTGTCTCCTCTACCAGAGATCTAGAGACGAGGCCTGTGAGGTAGGCATCCATGGACCTTCAAGGTCTGGTTAGCGGCCAGCACATAGTTGGTTCTAAAGACATGTTTACGGAATGAATAAATGATTTTCTCTGGGAAAAGAGGAAATGTGCTTTACCAAACTTCTGCTTCAATTTCACTCTCTAAAAGTGGGGCAATGAATGCTACTCATAGAGGAATGTGAGAAGAATCAATTATTGAAGAGATGCAGTAAAATCCTCAAACAAGAGGCAAAATAAAAGAGCAAAGTATATTTTTTATAATCTTATTCACAACAGACTTAACACTCAAGGAGAAAAGCATTTGCTGTTGTTTCTTGCGTGGCAAGAGGCTTGCCAAAATGGATACTATTTTCTAAAATATTTCAAAGTGTGAAGTGCGTGAAGAGGCCTCCCGTCATTTTAAGATGAATTATGTTCTAATCCGGGCATTTAAAAAACAACAACAACAGAAAAACTCAGGCTGTTTTTCAATTCCGTCTGCATCTTCTTTTGGCTAAGTGCTGGGAATATTAAAACGGATTTTAACTGCTTGCCAGATTTTTTTTTTTTTTTAAATCAAAGAGCCCATTACATTTTATAATGTGATGTCTGGGGAAAAGGTCACCCTCAGTTTCTGGAAGCTGGGCTTTCGATGTTAAAATAGGTCTCATAACCATCTTTTATTTTGATGGCAGTTGGTGGATTGGTCACGGGCTTTGGAAGGACACCTGTATACAAGCTACAAGTCCAATTTCTTGGGGCAGACGCAGGCCCATCACCGTGTGATTTCTGCATGCATATCAGCAAGGATAGGAACCAACCCACAGAGAAGGGAGTTCTGCCTCCCTTCTCTGTTGCAGCAGAGTCTCAAAGTCAAAGGGAGCCTGACATCAAGGTGCTGGGTGGAAACCAAAAACCCAGAAGGGAGGGCCCCACCCAGCCCCAGAGAATAGAAGACAAAAAATGGTCAAAGCCCCTCCTCCAGCTCTGTAGAGCCAGGTGCACACCACATGTTTTGTTTTGCCTGGAGACATCTCTGGGACTTTAGCCTGTGTTACCAGAGGTTTTCTTTAAGTTCTTTCCTGGACAAGCAAGAAAAAATGGAAGGGTTTAGTTTGTTCTCTTTATGTTAACATCTCCACGTATGCACCCAGGCCAAGAGAATGCGGAGGCTCTGTTAGGTGGTGGACATTGTGTTAGGTGATAGGGATACATTGGTAGATTGGAGCTCTGGTACCTGTCTTGCTGGAGTTCACAGAGGGCACGTTGATGCTAAATTACTACTCAAAATTATTATTGGGTTACAAAGTACCATAAACACAAACAGGGAAAAGGTGAAAATATTTACACTTATTTTGAGATGGGGCAGGAGTTGGGGAGGATCGGTGAAGGCTTGCTGGAGGAGTGACACTTAAACTGGGGGTCCCTGAGGGATGAATAGGAGTTTCCAGGTCAGAGTGATGCTGGCAATGCCTCCTGTGTGGCAGATTGTTCCAGATAAGCAGAGACAATAGCCTATAGCATCGCCTTGAATCAGGAGGGCTTCTACAGTTTGGCGAGCAGCAGCAAGGGGCCTCTTTCCATAGCTTGGCTTCTTTCCCCAAAGCAGGAACTTCTGCCTCTCACTCCATGCAGATGTGTACCTCAAGGATCAGGGAAAAGCTTTGTCTTCCCCCTTCCTTACTCCTGTCAGTGTTCAGAGGTTTGAACATTATCCCTAACCTGGAGGATTCTACCGTCCAGGTACTACTTGCTCAGGCTGATGCCTTATGAATAGAAATTTCCTTAGGATCCAGGAAAAGACATGCAGATCTTCTGCTCAGGTGTTTTCAGGCTTACAAGTGGGTATCATTCATTCGTCACTAGCACCTTTGGTGACTTATTCATTTATTTTACAAATCCAAGCAACTACCACACCGTACAGATCTCTGGGAGCTTTGGTTTCTGTATTTGGTGCATAATTCAAGTATGCCATTAACAAATGTATATGGTTTCTCACTGCCTTTGATAAAGATGGTTCAATCACTAAGTTTTTTCCTTTTTTTCAAAAGGTGGAGAGTAGCAGTGTAACATTGTGGTGGAGAGTGGAGGCTCTGAAGCCAGATGCCCTAGGATTGAGTCAGTCCTGGCTCCTTTCTCTATGACCTGCGTGACCTTGGGCAAGTTACTTGTCCTCTTTGTGTCTCAGTCTCCACTTCTGCAAAAGGTGGCTAATACCACCCATAGTTTATTACGAATAAATGGGCTAGAAGCTGTAAAGCAAACACCTGGAAATAGCAAGTGCTCAGTAAATGTGAACTAATAGTGTCATCTGTGTAAGGACATTCATGTAAATTAACTTACGTATCAGATTAAAAAAGGTTTGCCTCCCCTTTAATATTGCACCTGTGAATTATTATCAATTCCCCGCCCTCAGACTCTTGATGAAGACAATGTGACTTCAGAATGTCCACAGGCCGGGCACCGAGCAGTAGAATAAGTACTCAGTCCATGTTTGTAGATGAAATGAATGACTATGTGCCCTGATAGGAAGTTTAGAAATTAAAGCTGCTGAATGGATAGTTGTATTTCTCCCAGTTCCTTTTCAGACCTGATGGGAGGATAATTTTTTCTCTGCATTTCTTTATCTGCCCATCCCTAACCCAGATGTTAGATAGAGTACAACTTAATAGATGCTTCATGAGAATCCTGATAGCCAGCTAAGGCAGATCTGTTTTAATTGCTATAAATTTGTCACAGGAACCCATCATCATCAGGCAGCCCTGGGCCCTGCTCTTCTCACCCTGTATGTGAGAGAAAAGCCTTCTGGTTGCTGCCGGTGAAGAAAGGTTCTAATTACTCTGAATTACCAAGGTTGAGAGTTAAGAGGATTTTAGAAGCAGTATAGAGGATATAAGAAAAACTTGGTGTCATACCTGAATGCTAAACCCGATTCTCGCTTTTACCAGCTGCAACTTTTCAGATCTTAATTTTGTCAGTTGTGAAAATCGGACCAGCAGTTTGCAGGAAGATTGTGGAGATTAAAAAAAAAAAAAGTTACCAACTAAAAATACTTAACACAGGAAGATGCTCAGTGCAAGGCATTATCTGTAACTGTGTTATCGTTATTATAGGGTCTTAAACAAATCTAGCTTCCCCAGAAGAGAGGACTTAACATTAATTATCATGTGCCAGGCAGTTTTCTGGGCACTGTTCCTGTATAGTATCCCTTTTAGCCTAAGATCTAGAACCTAGTCTTTGTCCCAGGACAATTTCTTTCTGGGGTCTGCACTTCTCGAAGTTACATTAGGAGAAAATACATGCTGGTCTTCCTGATTTCGCTTAAGCTTCCCTTTCTCCCTTCTAATACCTAGGAGCATTTAAAAAGGTAATGGTTTGCACATGTAAAAATGGTTTGAGAAACCCGAGGCAGAGCTAATTTTTTTTTTCTTTCTAACACAGCAGGAAGGATAAATAATAACCATCTGTCTAGTCTGCCAGTTGATGATTTGTACTGGAGGAAATAAGCCAAGCTGGCTTCTAGAGATTTCCAGGTGTTGGAAGGGCCAGGTTTTACAGGGCTTCCAGTGGATTCTGACAGTCACACAGCCGGCCCTCCCCTCCCCCCTCCCCACTAATGACTTGAAATCAGTGGTCTTCAGCGCTGGCTGCTAATGTGCTCCCACCTGGGGAGCTTTAAAAATTACCAGTGTCTGGGCGGCACACCAGACCAATTAAATCAGAATCTCGAGGGGTAAGAACCCAGCTCAGGACTTCTAAAGAATTCCCTAGGTAATTCTAAAGTGAAGCCACGGGAGAAAACAGATTTGAATAAAAGCTTCTGGCCTCATTGGACCTAGTGAATGAAACTTTTATGAGAAGGAAACGTAAATATATGTTAAATATCTATATATGCCAGACATTTCTCACAGGTTTTCTTACTCAACCTAAAGAATAACCCTGTGAGGTAAAAATTACCTCCATTTTACAAATGAGGGGACTGAGGCAACACCAGGTTTGGTTTCTTGCTTAAGACAACAGAGGTAGGGATGCCTGGGTGGCTCAGTGGGTTAAAGCCTCTGCCTTCTGCTCAGGTCATGATCTCAGGGTCTTGGGATCGAGTCCCGCATTGGGCTCTTTGCTCAGCGAGTGAGCCTGCTTCCTTCTCTCTCTCTCTGCCTGCTTGTGATCTCTGTCTGTCAAATAAATAAATAAAATCTTAAAAATAAAAAAGACAACAGAGGTAGGGTTAGGTCTAGATTCTAATTCGTTCACTCACTCAACAAACATTCGTTAAATGCTAACTGTGATACAACAATGAACAAGACAGAATCTTCCCATAGAGTGTGTGCATTCCAGTGGTGAGGGCAAAAGAGAGATATGTAAAATAATGGCAAATAGTAATAAGGGCTAGACACACAGCTAAAGCCAATTATGGGGGTAGAATGCCTTGGCAGTTGTTATTTTATTTTATTTTATATATTTTTAATTTATTTATTTGTCAGAGAGTGAGAGAGAACATAAGCAGGCAGCGTGGCAGGGAAAGGCAGAGGGAGAAGCAGGCTCCCAGCTGAGCAAGGAGCTTGACGTGAGACTCCATTCCAGGACCCTGGGATCATGACCTGAGCTGAAGGCAGCCGCTTAGCCTACTGAGCCACCCAGGTGTCCCAGTGGCAGTTGCTATTTTAGGGAGGGAATTCACCAAAGGCCTCTCCACGTGACATTCAAATAGAGCCCTGAGAAACATGGGGGGAAAGGCATGCAAATGTCTGCAGAAAGAGCATTTCAGGGAAAAGCTATCATAAAGGCAAAGGTCCAAGGGAGGGAGAAGTGTTTGGTACATTCAGGCAATAGCTGAGAGGAGAGCTTAGCCGAAGTGGGATGAAAGGGGAAGAGAAGTTTAACTATTCACAGAACTGAAGGGCCTCATCGGCCATGCATGTGACTGGAATTGATTTTCTTTTTCTTCCATCATTCATTTCTTCTCTGGCGATTGTCTTCTTCATTACCCCCTTCTGGTGATAGCAACTATATTTTACTTTGTGCCCCCCCCCCTTCTAGTACTGTGGTTTGGTAAGAATGACACCTAGTTCCAACTCCAAGGTTGGTCTCTGATTAGTTGAAGACCATCATGGTGTTCTAATCACAGTCTTGGTTCTAGGGTGGATATAAAACTCAGTCTAAGCCTCTGAGATGAGAGGAGACATCTGCTACAGTTTCTCAACTCATAAAATTCTCTCCTTCTGGGCAGGACTGGCCAAAAGAGTGCTGTGAAGATATGATGACCTTGGCTACCATAGCTATTTTGTTATTAAAGTGTCTGGAGAAGTTGAGGCACTACCATGTAGAGCTTAAAGTTGATGCCAGCACCATATACAGCAGAGCAGAGAGCCAGAAAGAAACCAGATCCCAGATTTTGACATTTTTTTTTAAAGATTTCATCTATTTGACAGAGATCACAATAGCAGGCAGAGAGAGAGAGAGGAAGGGAAGCAGGCTCCCCGCTGAGCAGAGAGCCCGACGCGGGGTTCAATCCCAGGATCCCAAGATCAGGACCTGAGCCGAAGGCAGAGGCTTTAACCTACTGAGCCACCCAGGTGCCCCCAAGATTTTGACATTTTTAATGACTACATCAAACCAGCCTATGGCTCTTACTGCTACCAAACTTTTTATTTACATAAACCAAAACTCTTTATTGTCTAAACCAACTGAGTTAGCTTTTCTGTCCTGTCAAGAGAAACAGTTCTAAGTAGGAATTACTATGATTTTTTTTCCTTAATAAAAGGGAGGTTAAACTCTTAGTCATTTTTCTGTGTTGTCTTGAGTGATAGGTCTTCAAGAGATATTTGAGGGATCAATGAGACTCTAAAATTATGATTATTCTTTCCAATTTCCCTCCATTAGCAGCCTTGCTATAACCCTGCTCTGTGTTTCCTGCTTTTTCTTCCTCTTCCTCACTCACAGGCTCTACAGTGAAGAGATTTAAAGTTGGAGCCATACTTCATTTTTGTGAAATACTATTTTAGACCTCAGACAATAGCATATCTGGAGGGGTCTAAGCTCTTTTTTATTTGTCTCCATGGGAGTTCATAACACTTCTTGGATCTCTGGCTTGAGGTCTTTTATCACTTTTGGAAATTTCTTCATCATAATTGCTTCAAATACTGCTTTAGCTCTATTCTCTTCCTCCTATCTTTCTTTAGATGTATACTGAATATTCTTGCCATTTCCTATATATCTCATATACTTTTTTTGGTATGTTCTATCCTCATTGTTCCTTCATGCTTCAATCTGGATATTTCCTACTGAACTATATTTCAGTTCACTAATCCTCTCTTCAGCTACACTCAACCTTCTGTTCAACTCATCTAGTGAGTTTTTAAAAATTAATTTTTATGTTTTTCTGTTCTAGATATTCTTTATAAATTCAAATGACTTACTGAAATTCTCCATCTTATCCATTCTCTTAAACATATTAATTACAGTTATTTGAAAATCCATGTCCTGGGGCGCCTGGATGGCTCAGTGGGTTAAGCTGCTGCCTTCAGCTTGGGTCATGATCTCAGGGTCCTGGGATCGAGTCCCGCATCGGGCTCTCTGCTCAGCGGGGAGCCTGCTTCCCTCTCTCTCTCTCTCTCTGCCTGCCTCTCTGTCTACTTGTGATCTCTGTCAAATAAATGAATAAAATCTTTTTAAAAAAAGAAAATCCATGTCCTATCTTGTATCATTCCTGATTATTTGTAATTGAATGCTGGACATTTTGTATAAATAAGTCTCAAGGTTTTATATGATGTTAACTTCTTCCAGAGGGTTTTTTCCTCTTTTTTTTTTTTTTTTTTTCTGGTACTCAGTTTGAATTCCAAATAATAGCTTTCAAAAAGATGTTGTTTTATATTTTATCTAGTCTTCTAGTTGATCTTGCCAAGAGGTTTGGTCTGCTGTAAACTAGTGCATTCTAGACCTTAGCCCAAGTCACAGATATTAAGTATTTATATGATTATCATGTATGCATTAAAAAAGAATTTCATAGGATTCTTGGGGGTCCCACTGAGATAAATTTGTGATATAAGGCAGTACATATAAAAATGAGTCATTTTAATAGTTTATTATAGAATTTTTGAGTGAAATGAGGCTCCAGGAATGAAAAAAATCACAATTCTTTACATCCAAAAGGAGTAGCTGCCTTTAGTTTCTTATAATGTATTTTCTTTCAAGAAAACAGGCAAGTAAAATGCACCTCCCTCAGAGCACTTAATCATCACAGCTCCAGCAACACAGAAATGGGAAGAGATTAAGGCATTAACTTTCTCAATAAGCTATGGACTATCACAACAACAGTGCAATAGAAGTATCACCAAAGTCAAAGTTCTGTTGCTCTGTGGAGTGCAATATTGCCTAAAAAACTTTTTCATACTTGTAATCACCCTATCAGAGCAATAGAGCAGGTATTTTTTTTTCCTACTTTGGGTTCATTTTAAAGATGAGAAAAATGAGTCCAAGAGAAGTAAAATAAGTGTTCCAATAGAAGACGGTTATTTAGTTGCAAAGGTGAGACTTTGGCTCATCTTTTTGTACACTTTTCTATGTCATCCATTATGGGTTGAATTCTGCTCCCCCAAATACATGGTGAGGTCCTCAGCCTTACTTAGTACCTCAGAATGTGACTGTATTTGGAGACAGGCTATTTAAAGAGGTGATTCAGTTCAACTGAAGTCATTAAAATGAAGACACTTGTCTGACCGGTGTTCTTATAAGACCAAAAATTTGGATACACAAAGAGACACCAGGGATGTGCCTGCACTGAGAAAAGACCATGTGAGGACAGTGAGAAAGAGGCCGTCTGCAAGCCAAGGAGATTTCTTTCTCTTTTTTTTTTTTTTAAATTTTATTTTATTTTTTCAGTGTTCCAAGATTCATTGTTTATGCACCACACCCAGTGCTCCATGTAATACGTGCCCTCCTTAATACCCAGCACCAGGCTTACCTAACCCCCTACTTCCCTCCCCTCCAAAACCCTCAGTTTATTTCTCAGAATCCACTGTCTCTCGTGGTTTGTCTCTCTCTCCGATTTCTCCCAATTCACTTTTCCTCTCCTTCTCCTAATATTCTCCATGTTATTCATTATGCTCCACAAGTAAGTGAAACCGTATGATAATTGACTCTCTCTGCTTGACTTTTTTCACTCAGCATAATCTTCTCCAGTCCTGTTTATGTTGATACACAAGTTGGGGATTCATTCTTTCTGATGGAGGCATAATACTCCATTGTATATATGGACCATATCTTCTTTATCCGTTCATCTGTTGAAGGGCATCTTGGCTCTTTCCACAGTTTGGTGACTGTGGCCATTGCTGCTATGAACACTTGGGTACAGATGGCCCTTCTTTTCACTACACTTTCAAACTTGCTGACACTGGGACTTTGAACTTTTAGTCTCCAGAACTCTGAGAAAATAAACATCTGTTGTGTAAGCGACTCTATCAAAGAAATACATCAAGTGAACTGGATTTATACTAGAGAGAGAAAGAGAAAGTATTTGGTTTAAACATTTGTTGTGATCACCTTTGGATGTCTTTGTTTTGTTTTTCCAACAAAACTGAGTTCTCTGAAGTTATAGATGACATCATAAAAAATGAACCCTCACTTGCTATTACCCTATTGTCTTCTAGCACATCCCTTCTGTCTCTTTTCTATAATGCTGGGATGGGGATCTACAAGTACATTTCCCTGGCTCACTGGCTTCAGGCTAAATTTCAGCACGGGGAGATGCTTGGAGGGAGATTAAACTGTGGGGAGAGTAGAGTAGAAGTATTTTCTTCTTGTTTTTGGAGTTTGTCAGTATCTGTCCATCACCAGGGGAGAGCTACTGCTGTTGCTATGATTGATCTGTCAGAGAAGCCTCCTGGACCTCACTCTTGGGTCTGAAGGAGACTCCTGAGTGTTTTTCAACATTCTGAGCACAAGTCATATGTGAAAATTCAAAATCTAGATGAATAGCAACAGGACATCCCATTCAGTAGGCCCAGCATTCACCACATTGTGTTCTGTCAGAAATCCAAGCACCAGCCCTATTTGTGAAACACTGAGTTTCAAACTACACGGTGTAACCAGCTGTGTGGCACCTCCTTCAAAATTCTTTCTCTAACTGCTTGGCCTATTCTTGGAGATCCTAGAATCAGTGATGTAGTAGCACTTGCCAAGATTCTGCTAACAGTACACCTTTCACTATGTTCCCTCAACAGTAAGGATGAGAGCTGGTTTCCACAACTCCTAAGCTCTGGGTTACCTCAACTGTCATGGGTTGAATTGTGTCTTTGAACACAGCTACCACTAGTACCTGTTAATATGACCTTATTTGGAAGCAGGCTCTTTTTATATGTAATCAAGTTAAGATGATGTCATTTTGGGTTCGGGAGAGCTCTAAATCCAATGAACAGTGATGGCTTTATATGAAAAAGGAGATACAGAGACACCAAAGAGAGAGAGAGAAGAAGGCCACGTGAAGGTGGAGGCAGACAGTGGAATTAAGCAACCATAAGCCAAGAAATGCCTGGAGCCACCAGCAGCTGGAAGAGGTAAGGAAGAACGCTTTCTTAGAGACTTCAGAATGAGCATGGCCTGCTGACATCTTGGTTTCAGGACAGGCTTCTGGTCTCCAGAACTGTGAGACAATAGATTTCTGTTATTTTAAGCCACCCAGTTTGTCGAACTTTGTTGTGGTGGCTCTAAGGAAATGAATACACACACCATCCTTTTTGCTTGTTTAATGCTTGTGCCACCTGTTCCCCAATCCTCTGTTGTAAGTTCCCTGTTTGAAACACCCAGTAAGGTTATTGTTCTGCTGGAATGCAAACTGAGACACCACCCCTCCCCTCAAACGTTTGGTACCTTGTGTTTTGATCCAAAAGGTAATCACTAAATGGTTGATGAACGTAGTAAATAGAAATTGCAACAGCAGATTAATATCAATGCATATTTTTTCACCTGTCACATTTAAAACTTGCTAATTGCTAAATATTTTGCACAAATTAATCTTTATAATTTCACTTAATAATATGTCTTGGAAATCTTCCTGTATCAAAGCCAGCCATGTTATTTTATAGCTGCATAACTTTATCAGTTGGATATACCGTAATTTAATTAAATTGCCCCTGAAGGATTTCTTATTGTTTCCATTCTTATTTTTAACTTAAAATTTTTTTCTACCTCCATTTTTAGAGGCATTTACCAAAAAATGCTACACTGAACATTTTATTTTATTTTATTTTACTCTAATTTTATTTTTTTGAGATGCCAGTAAGGTAATTACCTAGGTGTGGCATCCTAGATCTAAGGGACTGTTCAACTGAAGTTCTAATAAATCATGTCCTCTTCTTCTCTAAGAGCTGCATTCATCTGAAAGGGCTCTCACTAGAGAATGTTTCATGATATAATACAACTTGGTGAATTATGCCTTTTATGATCCCCCTGGCCTAAAAGAATAGCCAGTAAGGCAATCCTGAGTCTTATTTTTTCTGCACTGCTGAGCCATTTACATTTCTGAGAGCAATAAGATGAAACCCAACCAGAAAACCACTGGAGCAAAGCAGCAGAGTCAACAGTGGCTCTGAGAACTGGGATGTCTCTCGAGGAACTAAACCACCAAACTCACCTGTGGGCAAATCAGAGGAAGCTTTGTTCAACAATTCAACAAAATTCTGCCGTCTGTACAAGAAAAGTAAACATAGCATTGGTACTCAATGTAGAAATCTCTGAAAGAATGTGCAATAAGGTCAATGTTTATATTGATAGTGATATTGAAGGAGCTTTTTGATACCTATATCATTCAAGGTATAATTCAGGAAACAGAAACTATTTTAGGGGTCTCTACTAGAACAGGGCTTTGATATAGGAAATTTGGTGCCTACGGAATTATTGCAGGGGTTAGTAGAATGGAGGTTGGCATCTGCTGCTAGGCTCAGAATTAGGCCTCACCAGTTCTGGAGAACTGCAGAAAATTTTGACGAATGTCTCAGTTGTCCCTGACTATGAGGTTGGTGACTAGGCAGTACAAAATGCATTTTGGCCACTGCAAAAACTCTTGCCTGCCAGGATCTGGAGTTGCTACTACTTCAGGAAAATAAGTAAATACTTAAAATGTCCCTGCCCCCACCCCCGCCACTTCTGCCTTTCAAATCTCACCCATGGAGATTTCACTGATGGAGCTTAAATCAATTCCAGAACCTTGGTGTCAAGGGAGTTAGAAATGTTATTTATAGTCTTCCCAAGAATGGGAACTATTGTGATACAGGAAAAAACACAAGAGCGGATAGATATGAGTTCTGAGTTCAAATAGATAACATTTAGTGAAATCCCCAAGCAGGAAGAGCATTAAGCATATAATTACATGTGACAGTCACTGAAGGTTTACAAGTACTTTAGGAAAACGTTGGTCATGAAAATTACCTGTATTTGCTTGCCTGACATCCATCCTCCATTTATATTCAAATGGTCTTCTCTGGGATGATGGACTATAATCAATATCCCATAGCCTACCCTGGCCAGTGTTGTGACTCACCTTGTCTAATTAATCTCTATCTATTTATCACTTTCTCCACACATCCTTCCCTAATTTCCTCCCTCTCTCCCATTCCCTGTCTCTGTATCTCTCATTAACTTTTGGCTCTGGTTCTTCCCAAAGTTTTATTTTCCCCCAGTTTTGTGTATAACTCCATATCTTTTCAAAATACTTCTTTTTGTTTAGGTTAAGACAGTTTCTGTTGCTAGCCACCAAACTGCGACTGGTAAGAATTGTTATCTCCTCCTTGCCCATCAGTGGTTAAGGAAATATAAAGCCCAAATTGTGAGATATAGAAGCCCTGGATTTTCTAGATGAGTTTTTTTTTTTTGTCAAGCATTTGACTCTTTACTAAGTATTAAAATATTTTGATGCATGCCATCCTGAAAGGGAGGTTGCTTATGGAAACAACCTGGAAGCTGGAAGCTTAAAAAACAGGGATGAAAAAGTATCTAGTGTAATTTTCCTAACCAAAGAAAATAATTGCTTTCTCATAGCCTGAAAATTACACAAACTCTTTTGCCCCTCACATTATAAGGCCATTTCCAATTTCCAAGTATGGCTGAGACCTCAGGTTATTCACATATTCTTTGAACATCAATATTTTAGACAATTATTTTTAGGGCAAGGTTTACATTGGATTTCATTTCAGTCTTCTGCCAATTGGCAGTATCACTATACAATTGATATTGAAACTTGTGTCGGCAAATTGCCTCAACCAATACTTTTTTTTTTAAATTTTTTTTATAAACATATAATATATTTTTATCCCCAGGGGTACAGGTCTATGAATTGCCAGGTTTACACACTTCATAGAACTCACCATAGCACATACCCTCCCCAATGTCCATAACCCCACCCCCCTCTCCCAAACCCCCCTCCCCCCAGCAACCCTCAGTTTGTTTTGTGAGATTAAGAGTCACTTATGGTTTGTCTCCCTCCCAATCCCATCTTGTTTCATTTACTCTTCTCCTACCCCCTTAACCCCCATATTGCATCTCCTCTCCCTCATATCAGGGAGATCATATGATAGTTGTCTTTCTCCAATTGACTTATTTCGCTAAGCATGATACCCTCTAGTTCCATCCACGTCGTTGCAAATGGCAAGATTTCATTTCTTTTGATGACTGCATAGTATTCCATTGTGTATATATACCACATCTTCTTTATCCATTCATCTGTTGATGGACATCTAGGTTCTTTCCATAGTTTGGCTATTGTAGATATTGCTGCTATAAACATTCGGGTGCACGTGCCCCTTCGGATCACTACGTTTGTATCTTTAGGGTAAATACCCAGCAGTGCAATTGCTGGGTCATAGGGTAGTTCTATTTTCAACATTTTGAGGAACCTCCATGCTGTTTTCCAGAGTGGTTGCACCAGCTTGCATTCCCACCAATCTAGAAGAGTTTTAATATCATGTGATTTTACTCTTTAAATAAAAACGATTCATTGTTTTGCTTATACCTCATATAACTTTTCCCATACATGACATTTCAGGTCAGAGTAGTTATTTTTTGGTATGGAAATCTGGCCTCTGGGGATTCATGTCAGTTTGGGCACAAGAATAGATAAGGTGGAGGTATGCAGAAATCATAAGCCTGATAAGATGATGACTCTATCAGCTGCTGAAGGGATACACAGGGAAAGAATGTTGGAAAAGCAGCACTGTTGGGAAATATCAATGATCATGCAAAGGTCTGATATTAGCACAGATCTGAAGTGAGCTACAGGGGAAGCAACTCCTGACTTCGATGCTTGCTGCAATTCTGTCCTCCTAGAAAGGCCAGGTTTAGGCCTATAGCATCTTCTGGCCCATAGAAAAACAGCCACAACAATGTGACAATAATAATCTAGATCCATCAATGTTTCTGTTGTAACCTTTGTTTTTTCAGAGCTCTTAGGAGTTATCAAATATGGGACAAGTCATCTGGACCAACAGCACCAGAAACTCTTCTGCCCCTTCTTGAATATTGCTGATAGTAGGGGGAGGAGACTGTGAGGAAAGTTTATTAAGTATTGAGCCTGGACACTGCCTGATTTAAATGTATAGGACTTATGTGATCAACGGAATCCTTGAGATCCTTCTAATTAAATTTTTTCTTTCTTCTGTATTCTTTACATTACCCTAGGACCTTCAAAGAGCCATTGGCAATTTAAATGGGAGAATGGGTTCCAGTTACCATAATAGGCACTATAAGTCTAATCACAGAAGCAGGTGCCAAACTCCCAACGCAGTCAGAGAGTTCAGGACTGGAGGACAAAGTCTGCGAGCCTGATTTTATATTCAGGCAAATCTGAGTTCAAATTCTAAATTCCACTAGGTTATTAAGTTAAAATAGCCTTTAGTAAGTATTCTGAGTACTTTGTGTGCATTATCTCATTTAATTGAGACAGCCATCCTATGAAACATGTAAAAGAGTTGCCCAAGGACCCACTTGATCAATGAGGTAGCCAGAATTTAAACTCTGGCTGTTTGACTCCAAATCTTGCATTCTCAACCATTGACTTATATGGCCTTACACGTGAATGTAATATAATTTGATTTCAGTTACATTTTTTTTTTCTCATGAACACAGCTCCAGTGTCTTCTGGTATTCTTTATTGCAGAAGTTTGAGGTCAGTCTGATTTGGGTTCATTTAAAATTAATGTTTTCCTTCCTTTGCTTTGGTTTAGTTTTATTTTGGTTTTGGTCTGCCTCCTTAAGTAATTTTCTTGTCTATATAAACACAAAACTCTTGTTAGGATAGTCATGGATGTATTTTTCCCTTCATTTAGCTTAGTCATACTGAGTCCTTTTGATCTGTACACAGAGGTTTTTTTTCTTTTTTCCCATCTCTGCAAAGTTTTTTTCACTTGTAGGTTTTGTTGTTAGTTCTTGTTCCATTTTTCTAGTTTCTTCTTCCACAATGCCAAGGCCTCTTAGGTTCAATTTCTATTTTTTCTCTTCTATGTCTACTATCTTCTTTCATTTTCTTCTCTGGTTTTTGTTTCTAAATTTTGTGGAAAACTTTCAAGTGTGACATTCTTAATAGATTTTACCTAGTTTCACTTTTTTTTTTTTATCCCTAGTTACCTCTTTTATTTTAGTAAATAGTATTTTATTGGAGGGTGAATGGATCACTCGGTTGGTTGAGCATCCAACTCTAGGTTTCTGCTCAGGTCAATATCTCAGGTTGTGAGATTGAGGTCCACGTTGGACTCCACACTCAGCATGGAGTCTACTTAAGATTCTCTCTCTTCCTCCTCCTTTGCCCCTCCCCCCACCAATCACGCTTGCTTGCTCTCTCTCAAAAAAATCAATTAATATTTTATTGGAACACAACCACAGCCATTTGTTATGCATTGTTTGTGGCTGCTTTCAAGCTACAGTGAAACGGTTGAGTAGTGTAAATAGGCTGTAGACTCATAAAACCCAAAGAGTTACTATCAGGTCATATATAGAAAAAGTTTTTTTTTCTTTTTATCTTTTTCTATAGAAAAGATACAAATATTTTAATATCATCAACTATCTAGCAATGATCAGATTTCCTTGATTGTCTCATAATTTTTTATTGAGATCTAATTTATATGTAACATTATATTAGTTTCTGGTATACAACATAATGATTCAGTATAAGTATATATAGACAAGGGATCCCATTTAGTCTAGTGGACATACATCAGTACATATAGTTACACTCCTGATTATCACTTAATTTGGTTTATAGAAGCTTCCACTTCCTTGAAACTGTCCATGTTTTACCAAGTTCCTTCAGTTTCTTCTGTTCACTTTAGTGCTTTCTAAATTTCATTTTAGTAGTTTATTATGCTTATTACTTTCAAGTTGGTTTCAATAGAGGACATGGCTCCATACAGCCTACAGAGAACATCAATGGTTTTCTAAACATTTCCTAGTGTTTAGAGTAATAATTTTCAAGAATTTGCTGCTATTTGGAATCTGTAGGATTCTCATTGCCTCTCTGTATTCTGCAGTATTTTTAAAATTAGATGTCATATTTGGGATTCTCTCTATTCACTGTCAAATGAGGAACTCTTCACATTCTGCACAACTCAACAGATCAGTTGCATAGATTTTCCTTGGTCCTATTCACTGCTCATTTAGTCCTACAGTCACGGAGTGAGTGCCAATCCTCACTGACACCT